TTTCGTCTGTAAAAATCACCTGATTCCAATTAAAATTTCGATGTTTTTTCGCCCAACGTAGTCGTTTAATTCGATGATTTTCATTAAGTTACGGTTTAGGAATTTCATTCATAAATTTTCCTCCAGCTTCAACAAGACGCCGTCTAATTGTTCTCGCACCGATGCTAACACCTTGTTTTTCGAGTTTTTGCTATATTTCCGTACTAGTTATATCGTGTGTCATTTTCGCCATTTTAACAATTTTTTTATCTTGATTTGTATTAGTGCTGCGCCGCTTGCCGGGTTTTTGTTGATCATTCAAGTCTTTAGTTTCTTTCCATCGGTTGGTCCAATAAATTACTGTGGGTTTAGTGCAGCCAATGTAGTTTTCTGTGGCTTCAAGTCCCAGCTTTGGTCCTTTTGGATGTGTATGCAAAAAGACAATTTCATATCGCTTATGGAGTGGAAGAGCCATTTTTTGACGAAGATATTTAGACAATCACTCAACATGATTGAGAAGTGGTACGAGATTATTTAATGATTTGGCGTAATTGATATGGTAAGTTACTTATGAACAATACCTGATATAGAAGCTCTACCAATCTATAAAAGGTATCATGATCAGCATTTGTAATGTTCTTTGTGCTTGGAAAATTTCAGAACATTACACATGATCTATGGAAAGTTATGGGGGCCGTTACTACTGTATATAGTAATTGATTGTTGGCTATTTTATTAACTCAATATATTTTCGTTATTGTTTATTTGTTAAATGAATGTAAAGATTTATCAATATAAAATGAGTGACATTATATCGCAAGGGTTTTCCGCGCTTTTTAATCTTTACTATCCTTCAAGCCACATTACAATAAACTGTGGCTTTTCTTTACAGAACGAAAATAAGCGACAGCGTTCATCAAGGCAACAAATAAAGTGAAACCACCTCGTCTCTCCTTAAAAAATGTCCTATTGTGCCTCAAATCAAACAAAGTGGTCGATCCACTCGCTATTCCCAAAACCAACAATGCCAATTTCTCATTACTCAGCGAAACGTTCGAATCCTTTCTCGAAATAACCAAGGTTAGAATTGATAGCGCAGCTAATGAGGAATGTAAACCACTCAAATATCTGAACAGCTCAAGAGTAACAGGGCCTGATGCCGTCGCTGATTGTTCAGGATTGTTGTTAATTGTGATGTATCGTGTACGTGATTTTCCAAGATATAATCGAGTTGTCACGAAATGATAAATGAAGTTTATTAATAGTGGTAAATTATTGGATTGGAAAAGTAGCCGAAATGAAAATATTAATAAGGAAGAAGTGTGGCCAAAGAATAAGGCTAACATTGATGGATAAAAAGAGCGACGTCGACGATGATGACGTGGTGGTGTTGATTCTTGTTGAGATGATGACTTGTTGTAGTTTAATACGGATTTTCGATGATATTGCTTTCCTCTTTCTTTTTGATAAGACATTTGAGTTGATTTAAGTGACGATTGTTTGTCCTCGAAAAAGAAACTATTTCTAATACCATCATTTCCAAGACTTTCCAAATGCCCATTACTGGAATAGTTGTCCTGATTTGGTGGTGTCATATTACAAAAATAAATCTACAATATATATATAACCATTAAATCAAGAATCGCATGAAATGTTTGCATGTATGCTATTTATTCTTACTCTCTTGGAATAAGCTTGTATTAACTTTCTTCTGTTTCACCAGCTTTCAAATCCTAAGAATTGTTTAAAAACCAAACGAGTTATCTTTATGAATGTTACTTTCAAAGCTTGGCGAGTAAACGAGGAGACGCAAATGTCTCAGGTTTCTTCCTCTATTGCTTTCTCAAAAAAGAAAGTATTCTTACAACAGTAATTTCAATAGTTTTTTTCCTTTAAGATCGTTAATTTCAAGATTTGCCATATAAAATGGTAGTAATAGAGTAGTGAGCTCTTGGATGGAAATGAACTTGTGACACGTGATTTTATTATTAATCATTTCGGACAAGATATCCAAGTATGGAATAAATATAGTAGGATATGTTATACAAAGATGAATGATTTTCGATAAATACATCAATCAAGATATTTTATTTCCCTCTATTCTCTATACCTTATTTGGTTTATTCACTAAAAAGAACCAAAGAACCAAGTAACCACCTTCTACGATTAACATCATGGGCAATTGTGTTTCAAAAGACGAACAAAGACAACGAAGTAATGCCATCAATCAACTTATTAAAGAAGACGAAAAGAAACTAAAAAGCGAGGTGAAATTACTTTTATTGGGAGCAGGAGAGTCAGGAAAAAGCACCATCCTAAAACAAATGCGACTAATTCACGCAACTGGCTTCAGTGCGGTTGAACGTGAAACCTATCGGTCAATAGTATTCACGAATATAATGCAATCAATGAGACTTGTATTAGAAGCAATGGAATATTTTCGGATACCCTTAGGAGATAAAAATAATATGTCGTATCTTCCTTTATTTAATGATTCACCAGATATCACGGAAGGTAATCCTTTTCCAAGCATATATCTTGATCCTCTGAAATCACTCTGGGCTGATAGTGGAGTACAACAATGTTATGAAAAAGGAAATCAATACGCGCTACACGATAATATGAATTATTTTTTCGAATCATTAGATCGCGTGTTTGCGTCTGAGTATATGCCAAATGATCAAGATATTTTGAGATGTCGGATGAAAACTACTGGAATTGTAGAGACAACGTTCCATTTGGGACCATTGACATATCGAATGTTTGATGTGGGTGGACAACGATCTGAACGGAAAAAATGGATTCATTGTTTTGAAGATGTTACAGCGGTCTTATTTTTAGTTGCAATTAGTGGATATGATCAATGTTTAGTCGAGGATAAAGATGCCAATCAGATGCAAGAAGCATTAATGCTGTTCGACTCTATATGTAATTCACAATGGTTCACAAATACTTCGATGATTCTATTCCTAAACAAAATCGATATATTCAAAGAAAAAATTCGTGTTTCCCCTATTAATAAATATTTTCCGGATTATCAAGGACAAAATAATAATTTCAAGCAGACGTCACAGTATTTCAAACGACGATTTCAACGGTTAAATCGTAGTGAGTTAAAAGAAGTATATTCTCATTTCACTGACGCTACTGATACAAATTTACTGCGACATATAATGAATAGTGTTACTGACATTATATTGACTCAAAATCTAAGAGATTTAGCTATATAATTTTATAATTCTGGTTTTATGCGGGGGGGGGGAGAGCTAATCATCGCAGCGCGATTTGAATGTGATTGGGATTATGAACTAAATTTTATTATCAGATGTGCTAATTTATTTTTAACCCCCTCATCTTAAAAATTAAAATCAAAGTTTTCTATTAATTTATTCTGGTAGTTTATTACTTAAGAATCAATCAATCTATTCTCCTTTATCATAGCATTATTTATCATTGCATTATTTTTTTAATTATTTTTATATTTTTGGGAAATTCAAATATTCACATTAATACATATAAAATGCATTCTTAAATTATTATGTAAAATCAATAATCGTATGGCAATTCGAACAAGCTACAATTTTTTGAGTGATTCATCTATCCATTTATTTATGTTCAAAGTTCTTTATAACGGCCGCATTGAACTAGCCCTTTTAGGCCGGTATAATGAGATTCCGGAACCGGTATATCGGGCATTTTATATAATTGAAGATCGGGTCATCAATTTTGGTAAAAGTCGACAGATTAAAACAAGTTTTTAATAATAATAATTTCTAATTATCATCTTATAATTAATTATTTCTTACTTTTGATTGTTCAAAGAAGTTCAGTTTGCATATATTGTAAAATAAATAATCAAGTACAACTTCTCTTTACATCTCTTTGACAAAATATATTCTTGTTTCTTATATAATTACTTTAACATGTTTGTTACAAGTGTTATATAGTTTTTGAATAAAGTATTCATTACTCAAATATGTTTGTTATGAATACTATATTGTTTAGTAATTTAGTTTCTAGGCTCTTTAATACATATTTGCAATAAAATCTATTGAAGTTCTAATTAAATAAAGGAATTATTATTGTAATTTATAAATTTATCTTTGAGTCATATTTGTTATAATATAAATATTATAATCTTTATATTTTGACTTCAAGATTTTGAAAATACTTTCTAGTTATTCAAATTATAGTATTAAAGAATATAAATGATTACTAATCTTTAATGATTTTATTATTAGTATTTTTAATATTTAACATATATTATTATAATATAAATATTTAGTTCTTATTTTATTGATTAATTCATATTATAATTTAATTGAACAAGATTTTGTTATATTGTCACCATTTTACTTGAATTTCAAATATATTATATCTTCTTATGTGCTCAATATGTGTTTCAAGTTAGGTGGAAGAGATAAGATAAATAATTAAAGGTAGTGACGTGTATTCATTAAATTACTAGTTAGCTGAAAAGTAATTTAAGAAATCTTTTTATAATTTAATATGTATTTAATAAGATAATTATAACAATGGTTTATAGACAAGTAAAATATTATAAATTCAATTTATTAAATCATTTCAACGATATGACATCACAACGTGTGAGAGATCCAAACTATAAATATGACATTACAAACATGTAAGAGATCATTAACATAATATTATAACATGTAGGAGATTATTAACATAACATTACAAATATATGAGAGTAAAGATGATATGGTAATTGTTGCAATATGATGATAAATAAAGCATCACCTAGTTGCAACTAGTTACAGCTTATAAAATTTTGGAGTTACAACATGTTGCAACGAGTGATAAATAAGTGTCACGTACTTGCTGTGCCATTTCTATATGAGAGGTTATAACAAAACTAAAATAAAACTTTAAAACTTAAATAATGAAATAATAAAAGGAATATTTTAATATAATAAATGTATTATTTTTAAAAGGGCATTATTATCAAAGGAGTTTATTTTTGAGCTATTAATATTTGAGTTGACTGAATGACTGATTTTTCTAAGCTAAAATACATGCTTCTTTTATATAAAATTGTTAAATTAAAATTACCAATGATATTCACAAGAAAATTGCTTATTCGCTTGCTTGCTCACTTGCTTATTCATTTATTTACTTGCTTGCTCACTTGTTTACTTGTTTGTTTGCTTGCTTGATCACTTGTTTTGTGATCTAGTATAAATATAGATTATCTAGTATAATCTAAATAAATGATCTATATATTATTTGTAAATAATAATATAAATATGTTATAAATAATAATATAAATAATAATATAAATAATAATATAAATAATAATATAATATAAAATATAAATATAAAGATTTTAACTAATTAAAATATAAACATGTATTCTCAAAATTATCCAATAAGATTAGATAATAATTTTGATTAATAATTAATATAAAATTTTATTATATAATAGGATCTTTACTATTAAAATTTTACATCATAAAATAAAAAAATAAAAGAATATTGTTACTATTCTACCTTTCATCAACTATATCACGTTATATTTCTTAGCGCAGTAATATTTATTTAAACTTTTTCTTTTATTATTTTTATTTTTCTATATTTTCTTATAATTTTATCCAATAGCAATAATTTACTTTCTTATCCAATTATTTTATATTATTATCACA